CAGAAAGCAAGAAATCACCCCCCAGGGGGATGGTCACACTGCAATCCCTTCTCCTCCATTCTCCTCTCGGGATCTTGGGCACGCACGCGCACGCACACGCACCCGACGTGAGTTTTAAGCCACCGAGTCCAGGACGCAAACCACGGTTGACTACGTGGGAGTCCAGCGACATAGCCATTACGCTAACTGCTGGTTCCCTCCTACAGCCTAATTTTAATGATTATAAAACTTGTCCTTTTTTTTTTTTTCAAGATATATGTGTATCTGATTCTTAATTCTAGGTCTTAGTCTGTTTGTGTTGCTCTAACAGATTATCTGAGATTGGGTGACTTATGAAATGAGAAAAGAGATCTTACTTGGTTTACTGTTCCAGTAGTTGGAAAGGACAAAGACATGGGGGGCTGACCTCTGGGGCTGTCATAATGGATGAGAGAAGCAGAAAGAAAAGCAGACACCTGCAAAGTCAGAGATGTGCCTGCTGCCAACTTGCTTTTATATCACCTGGCTCTCTTGAACAGTAATTAATGAGAACTTGCCCCCTCTCTGGAGATAGCATTAATTATTCATGAGAGCTCTGTCCTTATCTTGAGCACCTCCCACTCCCAACACTGCTGCAGTGAAGGTCAAGCTTTTTTTTTTTTTTTTTTTTTTTTGAGAGATTTTTGCTATAGGGTACTTTCTCTCACCAGAGAGAGGGAGATAGGAAGCAAGAAATCAACCCTTGGGGGGTGGATGGCCATGCTGCAATTCCTTCTCCTCCATTCTTCTTTCAGCATTTTGGGCATGCATGCATATGTGCCAAGTGTAAGTCAAGCCGCCAGGTCCAGGATTCGAACCGTGGTCAAACACATGAGAGCCCAGTGTCTTAACCACTATGCCACCTATTGGTCCCACAGCATAAGTTTTTTTTTTGTTTTTTTTTTTTAAGAATTATTTACTGGGAACCAGCAGTTAGTGTAATAGCTATGTTGCTGGACTCCCACGTAGTCGACCACGGTTCGTGTCCCAGAACCGGTGGCTTAAAACTCACACCGGGCACGTGTGCGTGCGTGCCCAAGATCCCGAGAGGAGAATGGAGGAGAAGGGATTGCGGCATGACCATCCCCCCTGGGGGGTGATTTCTCGCTTTCTGTCTCTCTGTCTATCTGTCTGGTGAGTGCACACGCCCTATAGCAAAAACCTCTCCAAAAATAAAAAATTAAAAAAATAAATAAATAAAAAGAAAATTATTTACTTAATTTTATTTATTATCATTATTTTTTTAATTTGAGCAGAGAAAGAGAAGGAAAATGAGAGAGCAAGTCACTAGGTCCAGGACTCGAATCACAGTTGACCATGTGGGAGTATAGTGCCTTTACCATCATTCCACCTGTTGGCCCCCATCAAAACATAAGTTTTGAGGGGCCATAATACTCAAACCATAGCAGGCACCAAAGTGGTTGTTTTATTGCAAACTCAAAACTTAAACTTCAAGTTTCATCTTTGTTTTTTAAGAATTATTTATTTAATTTTATTTCTGATTTTTTTTTTTTTTAATTTGTCCAGAGAGAGAAAGAAAGGGAAAGTGAGAAAGTAAGCTACTAGATCTGGGACTTGAACCAACTGTTGACTGTGTTGGAGTCCAATGACTTAACCACCACACCACCTGTTAGCTCCTCAAGTTTTATCTTAATTCCTTTTTTTATTGCCACATAAAATTTTCAAAGCCTTGGGACTGCCAGATGGCATAATGGTTATGAAACTGGACTCTCACTTACTTAACCACAATTTGAGTTCTGGACCTGGTGGCTTAAAACTCATGCTAGGGACCAGCAGGTGGTGTGGTGGTTAAGGTGGTGGACACTCCCACATGGCCGACTCGAATCCCAGACCTGGCAGTTTGCTTTCTCATTCTTTCTCTCTCTCTGTCTCTCTCTGGTCAAATTAAAATAAATGAATGAATAAATAAAATTAAATAAATAATTAAAAAAACACAAAACACCTCATGCCAAGCATGTGTGTATGTATGTGTAAAATTCCAAGAGGAAAATGGAATAGAAGGGATTGCAGCATGGCCAATCCCCCCTGGGGAGTGATTTCTTAATTTCTGTCTCTCTGTCTCTCCAGCAAGTGCACATGCCCCCATAGCAAAAATTTCTCTTAAAAGAAAAATTTCAAAGCCTTATTAAATCAGCTGGCCATCAATGATTATATAAATAACATTCTAAATTTAGTAATGCTCTGAAACAAATTTTTTAATAATTTATTCATGTATTTTTACTTTTTCCCACGAACATTTACTTTACATATAAAACAATTTTTGTTCATGGGACCAGCAGTTAGTGTAATGGCTATGTCGCTGGACTCCCATGTAGTCGACTGCGGTTCGAGTCCCGGGCCTGGTAGCTTAAACTCATGCCAGGTGCATGTGCATGCGTGCCCAAGATCCCGAGAAGAGAAAGGAGGAGAAGGATTGTGGTGTGGTCATCCCCCCTGGGGTGTGATTTCTCGCTTTCTGTCTCTCTTTCTGGTGAGCGTACGCGCCCTATAGCAAAAAACCTCTCCAAAAGAAAAAAAAAGAAAATAAATTTTCCATTCATACTCCATAGTTCTTGACAGTTAATAAACAACTTTCAAAATTTCAAAAAAAATGAATTTTAAAGACAATGTTTGAAATATTTGTTATAATTTTGTTGTGACTCTTTAACAACAGAGACAGTATGGTTTTAAATATTTTTGAGAAAATATTTACATGTCAACTACTCAA